GGAAGCACTGGGAAATCTCAAGCCGCTAATGACATGCTGGCCGGGTCTGGAGCCGGGTCCTCCAGAATGTCACCGGGCTCACATGGCTTTTTCCAACGATGAGAATACAGACAGTGGGTGGCACAGATGTACCAGGGAGGGAGAAAAGACTGCCAAATTGGGGGCTGGGCACAAAAGGGGCTGCCTCCTGCCCGGGGTTCCAGGGAAGGTTCCAAGGCACTGGAGTCACTTGGGAATATTCCAGAAGCTCTTAGTGGTTTGGGCCTTGCCCTGCCCTGTGTAGTGTGGGTTCCTAAGGAATTCTGGGGTGGGCTTGTATTCCAGTTCCTTCAGGAGCCTAGGAGAGACCTGGGGCAGGGGGCGGGGGAGAGGAGTCTTTCTGATCGGCTTTGGTTCTGACCCATCTCCTGAGACTGATGGACTCTCCCTGCCGTTGGGTTTGGGTTGCTATTTTTGCCGTGACTCTTACCCTAGCGGGGCGGGGACTCTGCAGAGCAGGAGGGTAATCACCACACAGAACAGCCCGGCTCTGGTCAGCTCTGGTTGCCTGGGGGTGCTTACAGCTGGCTCCTCCAGCCTGCACGAGCATGCCGGTGTGCCAGACTCCCCACCTGCCCCATCCGATCTTAAACAGAGTCGGAGGCCAGGCTGCAGGCTTTGTGCAGGTGACGTGCTTTGCTTCTCGCGTTGAGGACTGGCTTCGTGGGGAGTTGGCCTTGTGGGTCTTTGCCCGTGTGCCTGTTGGCTCAAGCTGTGGCCCTGATGGGGCAATCTGGGACGGACTTGGCCCTTAGCGCCTGCATTTGGAATTCCCCACACCTCCATGCCTCTGTCCTACACAAACATCGGGAACCCCCAGCTCCCTCTGCAGCATTTAATATCACTTCCCAGAGCTTCTCAAAGAAAATGAACAATCTCTTTTTTTAAATTTTTAAAAAAAATTCCAGAAGGCATGTGTATACCAGGGAATGACAGAGAGGGAAAGTCATCCCCACGGGGGCACGGCCACACCGCAAGCCTTTCTCCCCCATTTCCCCACCCCATTGGGATTTGGCCGTGCACGCACACACGCCTGGTATATTTTCAAGCCATGGGAGCCAGTATTCAAACCACAGCCAGCCATGCGGGATCAGGCTCCCTAACTACTAGGCTACAGGGCCGGCCTGAGTAATCCCACTTCTCGTCGCTTGGGGATGTGGGGGCTCAACCCGGGGAGGGAAAAAACGTAATTTTCTCACCTATAGCTACAGTGAACACGGTAGCACTCGTGTGCGTGCCACCGGTTTTTCTGTCGAGTATGTGGGAAACTGGTCCACAGCAGCTTATCCCAAATCCCTCCCACACGAGAAGCTCCTAAGCATAGTTTTCTCCGACATTACGGGTTCAGCGGGGCCACAGGGAGACTCTGGAGGGCCTCCATCTCTCCCATTGCAGAGTATGCGAGTGCTTGATGACGGGGTGCTGCCTGGAGTCCCCCGGGCAAGATACCGTCACGTGTGCATCTCTCTCTAACACGTCTGGCATCGTCGCGTCCACGTCCAGGTCCCAGGGACCTGGGCTTAGTTCTACTTTATAGACAAGGAATGGAGGCCCAAGAGTTGGGTCACAGCCCAGGCTGGGCCAGGGTAAGACACGGAGTGAGGACTCGATGTCCCCTTTAGAACGAGTCACTGCAGCTGAGAGATGCCCGCCGCTTGGCTGGATTCTGGAGCATTGCCTTCCATCCAGCCTCCGAGTCCGACGTCTTCAACTACGTTACCAACACCATCTCTCAGATCTTCAACACCAGAGTTATCTTGGGCTGGGTCGGGGTACTCTGTCACCCTCTCCCTCTCGGGCACTGTGTCCTGTCTGTACGTGCCATCAGTCTGGGGCTGGGCTTAGCCTGGGGCTCCTGGCAGGACATGGGTAACTTTCCCAGTGCGTTTAGGAATTTCGGGGCAGGTGCTGAGCAAAGCTGCCGTAGGGACTGCGTGAGTCTCGGCCTGTCAGGCGCTCGGCTCCGCTTGCTGCTGTTCTCTCTGGGACCCTGCATGAGGCTGTTTGAGGACAGGGTGACTGAAGGAAGGTCAGTCCATGTGCTGGACCTCACTCTTGTCGGCTGGGAAACTTCCTCATGTTACTTACAGGAATGAGGCCAGCTTATCTCTGTGTTTTCCGGTATTGATAAGCGACCCAGGCTGTGAGGGTTGCAAGCCTCGGACTGTGGGCCGGGCGGTGGAGGGCCATGGCGCCCTGCTGCTCCTCACCAGGTGCTGGAGGGCCCACCAGCAGTTCTCTTCCAACTCAGCTATGGGCTGGCAGTGTCCAGTCCTCCGTGGGGAGGCCACTGCGCACTCACTGGCTGCCCCTGTCCTCCCTGCCCCTTTCATCCTCAGTTTCCTCGGGGCTGGCTCAGCCTAGCCGGGCAGGGTGGCAGGATGGCGGGTCACTGTGTACTTCCCTCCCCCCGCGATGGTCTCCTTCCCGATGCCGGCGCAGCAGAGGAGGGAATTCTGAGCAGAGGAGTAGAGAAGCACCCTCTTCGTCTTGCTCAGACCCTCCCAGCTAGCATTCCTGTTTTGTTTTTGTATTCAGTGCTTGCTGCAGGGCGCATGCGCTCGCTGGACAGCGACAGAGGAAAGTGAGAGACCAGTCTCCCACCCCGGGAATGGCTGCACTGCAATCCCTTCTTCTCCATTCTGCTCTCAGGACTTGGGCACACATGGACATGCCCCCGGCATGTTTTTCAAGCCACCGAGTCTGGGACTAGAACCTTGCAGTCGGCCGTGTGGGATCACCACCGACTGGCCCCAGCACCCCTGTTTTCACCTCCTGTGCAGAGAGAGCAGAGAGTGAGGCCCTCAGGGTAGCATGACAAAACGGGGGGTCGGGTACAAGGTCTGTACTGGGAGCAGTGTGAGGACCTGGGAACCCAAGAAGGAGCCTCGAAGGACACTCCCGCCATTGTGGGGCTGAGCTCGGCTTCTCTGGCCAGATCTCGCCTCCTCTGGTGATAGGGCAGGCTTCCAGAATGAACTGGTCAGACCCAGAGTTTGGGAGGCAGCTCAGGGCTGGGCGTCGGGCTGGGCCTCGTGCAGAAAGGGTGTCTGTATAGACTGCGAGAATGTGGGTCCGGCGTGAAGTGGTAAATGCCACACGCTGTGAGCGGCACCACATGGAAGGTCTGGGTCTGGAGACCTTCCTGAGCATGCCCGGCATACGTGTGCCCATGGCCTGGGCACTGAAGACTGCGGGGACTGTGGAATCCAGGTCTTGTCGGGCTGAGTTTTTCATAGCAAGGAATGAGAGGCCGGATGATGGGGGCTACTGAGGCCCTGCAGGCGGCCCCAAGCCTCCCACTACACTCCCGCTGTTCTCTAGGACACCCAGACCTCCAGGAGGAACTCTTTCCTAATCAGATCACAGAGCGTTTGAGACCCGACCAACGCGCACACACACACACACACACACATGCACATGCACACATGCGCGCGCACACAGGCAGCTAGGCAGTCTGCTGTATGCCCACGGTTTCACCCGAGCCTGTGTGGTCCCTGGCCCCCGGTGGAGCCCTGATGAACCATGTATCTCAGGCCGGAGGCTCTCTGCAGACTTGAGCCCTGGGTTTGGCTATTGGGGATCCTGAGGTCCCTGAAACCTCTTCCCTGCCCACCAAGTAACTTCGGGGTTCTCAGACTTCCTGACTGCCCTCCCCCACCCCCGCGCATGGGACATCCTTGGGTGCTGGGTTCCCAGCTGCCTCCACATCTGGACGGGCCTCCAGACCACGGAAGTGGCCCTCCCTGTCCCGGCTTGGGCCAGCTCCCCAGGGTGGCCGGGAGGGGACTGCGCCGGACCTCCCCTTCCCGCCCAGCAGCGGCCGGGCACACACACAGTTAATCCTCCGCGGCTGCTGTTTGGATGAAATGCGCTGGAGCACTCGCTCTGGCTGCTCACATCTGGCCGGCTTCCCTGCTCACGCCTGTCCGCTTCTCGCTTTCTCCTCGGCTCTTCTTTACTTTTGAGAAAGTGCATTTCCGCCTCTGGCTACAGAGACCTTGTTGCTGAGGAGACAGAGGTGCCCGGACGGACTGGTTGCTGCTTGTCCCTCTAGCCCCGTTTGCGTCTTCTTCCGACTTTCCTCTGCTCTGTCAACAAGTCCCTGCTTCCCGACCTGGCTGGGAGATGCTCTAAGAGGCAGCGCAGGGAGAGCCCTGGAGAGGCCGCCGCCAGCTCCGGCTGGGACAGAGGTAGGTGACGGGCTGGCCGATGGACATGGAGCCGAGGGACCCAGCGCCTCCCCCCACCTCCTGTCTTCGTGGCTTCAGCCGCTGCCAAGGCAGGGCTGAGCATACCTTCCCCGGGGCTGGGATGGGCCAGGTGGGAGGGGCCACGCTGGCAGCAGCAGCAAAGGCAGGAAGACGAGAGCCGCAGGAAAGCTTCTGCTCCCAGGCGCCCGTGCAGTGCAGCTCAGCGCCCCGTGCAGTGCCCGTGCAGCGCCCGTGCAGCGCGGTGCCCACGGCCACCATCTGTGCCCCCTCCTGACTGGCGGAGCGGGTTCTTTCGCAGACCACGCATCTGCATTGGGAGTAACTGTACCTTTCTTCGCTTTTCTGGGGGGTGTTTCTCTTGCTTCGCTCTTCCTGGTTTTCTGAGGGTGTGAAAGGAGAAAGAATGGCACCCATGCCTGCCTCTGCACTCCCACCCCATCCTGGTATTACTGGACCACCTGACAGCCAGGTCTGCCCATTGCCCTGAGGCCCACGGGACCGGCACGGGACAGGAAGTGCTGACTCTGGCCCTGCTCCGTATAGCCTTGGTGTCCCTGGTGGGGGCCTGGCTTGGGCAGGAAAAAAATGTCCCTTCCCTGGAGACCCTGCTGGGAAGCGAGGCCCCTGTGCCACTTAGTGGCCCTCGGTCTGAGCTGAAGTCGCTGAGCCCCCAGCCCCACCCTCCGGGACATCTCCACTGGCACGGGTATGGCCACACCTGCCAGCCTGAGCACCACCACACCAGTTCCTGGGCCTGGCCCTGGGGAGCTCGAGGTCAATGCCCCTCTGCAAGCTGGCGCATTGGTGGTGGGCCTGGCCTGGCCGTCCTGGCATGGATGGGAGGGAGGAAGCCGCTCTCACGCTCCATGGTTCACTTTTGCCTTTCGTATCTTGCCTCACTCCTGAACGGGGAGAGGGGAGTAACCTGCATGAGTGGAGCTTTGAAAATGTGGAATGTTGGGCCGGCTCCGTGGCCTGGTGGTTAAGGCTGCCAGGTGTCACGTGGCCAACACGCTGCCCTTGTCTCCGACCTGGAGGCGTGGGACACACGCCCGGTGCATGTGTGTGTCCCAAATCCTGACCAGACAGAGAGATGGAAGAGAAGGGGCTGTGGCGTGACCGTTCCCCTTGGGGTGCTTTCTCCTCTCCTCTCCTTCTCCCTCTCCCTCTCTTTCTCTCTCTGGTGAACACACGTGCGCTCTCCAGCAAAAGAAAAGAACATGAGAAACGTCTTGAGAAACTGCATGTTCCCCACCACCAGCGACTTCCCGGGTCCGTAGGGAGCACGTGATGGCCTTGGAGCTGGGGGACTGCGTGGCCTCTGCTCCTACAGCGCAGGGCTGACCCAGGCCATGCTGCCGTGTATGCTGCATGTGCGCGTGTGCTTGGCTGTCACGTGTATCTGGCGGGGAGCGGAAGTGCCTCTCCACGAGGCCTGCTCTGTGTCCTCGCTGGCCGGAGAGGAGGGAACGACAGGGAGAGGGGAGGAGAGGGTGGAGAACGAGCCCTGGGAGAGGAGCTGGGGGGACCCAAGGCTGGACAGTGGCAAGCAGCCATAGTGCTGGCAGCCACGGGCCCATGCTTCCTGTGTGGCAGGTGCTGAGCCAACATCAAGTGTCAACGCTTCTCCCTGGGGTGCTTGCTCAGAGGGACCTCGACCTACCCACAGCCCCAGACCCAGTGTGTGTGGCCCGAGGCTCACGCCCGCATTGTTCTCCCCAGACAGGCCTGCAGCACTCCACCGGGCCCTGCGAGCAGCTCTCCACACTGAGGCTGCCCCCAAGCTCCTCCTTCCCTGCTTCTCCCTTTCTGGGTGCCAAGGGAGAATGCCCGGGGCAGGAAAGACAGCAGGTCTGCAGCCTGGGGGCCGTCACCTCTCCTGCCGTCTCGCCAGCAAGCAGTGGGCCTACTCTCTCTCTGTCTCTCCCTGTCTCTCTCTGGCAAGTGCACATGCCCTATAGTAAATTTTAAAAAGAGCAAAAACATGCACACGTGTGACATATCACATGTGCATCTTCATATAACTTACATTGTTCTTTTACTATTTGTTAAATTGGACCTATAAGGCTTAGACTATGGCTCACTCCTAGAAATCACTTCCCCTAACCTTCCCATTATCAGAGAACATGACCCAGAAGGCCTGGGCCACCCCGTCCAGCCATGAGACGCCGCCATCCCGTGGGGCAGTGCGGCCAGTGGCGGGCCCTCCCCCAGTGCGAGTGGAGGGAGCCCCCGCTGTCCCAAGAGGAGCCTGCAGCTCTGCCTGGTCCCCATTCGGGGCAGCTAGCACGGCATGATTTTTTGAACACACTCTGTTCTGTTTTCTTCCTGGTGCCTCCCCCAGCTCTCATTAGCATGACTCATAGGCCAAGCATTCAGGGACGGAACTTCACCCATCCAAACAGAGATGAAAGGGACTTCGTAGATACAGTGCGTGCGGGGCGCCCTTGGGGACGCAAGCTTCCCATCTGCGCCTTGTCCTCAGGGTCCCTGTTCCTGGGGCTCAGGGTGGCCCAGGCAGGCCAGGAAGGCAGGAAGGAGAAGGTTCTGTTGCAGTGTCCAGGCTCTGCTGGCTGCCCGAGGCCTGCTCTGCCTGACGTCCACTGTCCCGCCCTGGGGGAGCGGTGGTCAGTTATCGGGGAGCAGCCTCAGCTCCCTGGCCCTGAGAGCCCCTGAGACAGCCGAGGGAGCTGCAGGGGCTCGGCCACTCCACGGCCAGGGGTGGTCGTCCTCCCTGTTGTCCTGCTCACCTGCCCTCTGTGATGTCCAGTGACACGAGGCAGCTCTCGGGTCAGGACCCGCAATCTCCCCACTCTTCCGTGCAGTGTGAGGGTTTCCTGCCCACCTTGGGGAGCGTCGGGGACGGGAGCGGCTCTTGGCGCTGGCACCTCCTCAGGCTGCCCATATTTGCGCACAATCCATTTCCAGAACCCAATTATCATCAAGTATGTCTCAAACGGGGACAGGCATGAGCAGGGCCCCCAAGTGTCCCCAGCACACACACCAGGATGTCCTGGCCTGCCTCTGAGACTCCCCTGCCCACCACGGTGTCCCCGGCCTGCCCCTAAGACCCTGGAATCAGCTCCATGGACCTGTGGGCCCTGCCTGGCCACCCCGTTCTGTTCAGGGCAGCGGTCAGGACAGCTCTGGGCCAGGCCTGGCCACAGCGCCTGCCCGGCTCCCTGGTTCCTATGGGAATTTTCCTTGAGAAGACAGAGAAGAGCAGAGGAGGGCAGGCAGAAGGCAAGAGCTGGAGGGGGCGGGGTGCCGGAGTCTGTTCTTGGTGCTCCGTGCTGGACAAATGTTGCTCTTGGCCACACTCAAGCCACACTCGGTGCAAGGCCCCAAACCCTGCTCCTTGGCTTGCAACCACCATCCCCAGTGGTACATCTGGTTACCAGCCGGCCTCTGCCCTGGGGACCCGGGAGGGAAAAGGATCTCGTCCGGGAAAACTGCCAGCACTGGGTGGACTTGCTGGGCTGCAGACCGGGAAGCAGCTAGCCAGGCTGGGCCCTGCAGGCTCTGGAACTGCTTGGCTCCACTCTCCTGCACAGCATCCAGTGGGTTCTGGTGAGACCTGGGTCCGTTTGGGATGGCCGGGGCGCTCTTGGGTGTTCCTGCATTTAGCCCCTGCCCCTGTAGGGGGCGTTTATGAGGGCAAGACCTCGGTCCTATGAGTCCGACATGCTTGGCCTCCATAGGGGCTGGGTCGTGGTGGCTCGGAACCTACCTGCCAAGCCTCGTCAGGGCTACCTTCTCTTCCGGCCCCCTCTCCTGCAAGCTGCTACTTCCTGTCCCTTCTGCCTGAGGCCCCTCCAGGGGAGCCGACCCATCTATCCCAGATGTCCCCCCAGATCATGCATGCCACCCACCCTTCCCCAGGCCAACTCTTCACGTCCATCCTTCCTAAGTCCCTCTGCAGCCTCCCTTCCAAAGCTTAGCAGTTCACCCCACACGGACAGACGCCCAAAAACACGCATCTACCCCGGAGGGTGCTGCTGGTGATTCTGTGCCTAACCCAGAGGAATTGAGCTCCAGCGGTGGCTTTGAGATACTAGCAGGCAACACCAGGGAGGTCTTGCCACATGCTGGCTGGGAGGACAGTTATGCCTTCCCGGGCCTGGCATGTGGCAGCCCTTGGTGCTCTCTGTGGAATGAAGGCGCCGGGGCTCAGCTGTGGCGCTGTCCCTCCTGCCGCTGAGCCGGGAGGGCGCCCTGAGCCAGAGCCTGGCTGACAGCAGTGGCAGGAGGAGCAGGAAGAGCCTGTGCTGTCTGGCAGCTCCCTGGAGCCCCAGGGTGAAGTGGGGTATGCTTTGCTGTCAGACACGCCCAGGACTCCTCTGAGTCCCAGCACCTCCCCCTGTGGCACTTCGGGAAGTGGCTCCTTCCTCTGAGCCATTTCCACATCTGTGAAGCTGAGGGGCATTGCCACATGGAAGTGCACGGGAAGCTCTGAGCACTTCAGTCAGTGGGAGCAAGGCGTTGCCAGAGGACCTCACAGGAAGCCCATGCCACTCCTGGTCATTGCAGGTAACAGGACACGGGCACAGGGGTTGGGCTCAGCTTTGCCAGGTCCCCAGGGAGAAGGTGGCTGGTGACCAGCCCGCTCAGGCAATGTCCTTCCCACGCGTCCTTGTGTCGAAGACAGAGCAGATGCCCGTCTGCTGGGAAACATGCCCTCCGGCTTGCTCAAGTCTCGTCCAGGTTAGGTGCCACCTCTCTGGGCCCGTCTCACGGAGTCCGTCCCTGGCTTACTCATGCCACAACCCCTGCCCAGGGGAAGGGCTACATCTTGGTCCTTGTCCCAAGAATCCGACCCGCTGCTGCGTGTGCAGATGGCACTAAGTGAACGCTTGTTGAACAAATGAGTAAAGAATGTGGGGCTTTGGGCCAGCAGGTGGTGTGGTGGTTGTGGCACTGGTTCAAGTCCCAGAACTGGCAGCTTGAAACTCAGGCCGGGCATGTGTTCATGCGTGCCC